TCAGGTCAACAGAGCGCGTCTTAGTGAGTCATGCACACTCTGACTTGTGTGAAGTTTAGGTTAGATCGTTAGAGTAGATTCCACACTCCCCCAAGTGTGGAACAAAGACATGCGCATTCCATTTCAGCGTTTTCTGTGCACTTCTGCATCAGAGCTTGCAATGAACGTGTACGCAACTTGCCGTGAGGTTAACAATAATTTACACAACTAGACGTTCTCCCTGATTATCCTGTAATAGATAGACTGTTTTTCACCCAGGGAGTCGTGTTGTTAGACCGCAGCTGCTTCAAGTCGTCAGGTAATCAGGTAACTAGTGTAGAAAAATTAGCAATCAGGTAGAATTTAATTAAGCCAGTAATGCAAAGAGGGTAATGAAGCTTGTCAGAACTACTGTTTGCCAGTTTATGACAGCTTTTAGAAAAGTAATTTAGGTACTGAAGATAATTACTGAACTTTGGAATTTTTACACAGATAGGTACAGGAAATATACAGTCCCAGAGCGATATCATTCATGTTAGGATTGAAGCACACTAACCTCTTGAAGGTTATCAAGGCCACAGCAATAATTTAATGACCAGCCTGCAAGTATCCTGTAGTCCTGCACAGTGTGCATGACTAAAGCAAACTCTTAATAATCAATAACCAACTTTTGCAATCAATAATCCACACAGTATAATATATATATATATATATATATATATATATATATATATATATATATATATATATATATATATATATATATATATATATATATATATATATATATATATATATGTCTTGCATGTACAATTCAAGACTGATACATATTGCGTCACTTACCAAGTCAAGAGCACACTTACCATTGCTCCCCCTCCCCCTTCAAAAAAAAGTAGCAGCGAATGAAACATAACCAGAAACTAGCAGACGTCACGGAGTCAAATACTTGTTAATTTAAAAAAAATCAATAGTCAACTGATTGAATCACATGTCTGTAGAAGTGTGACTCATTTTAGGAGTTATACTCACAGTAACGGGATGCATAATGTCCATAGATTCGTCAGTAACTTGCTACTTATTGTCAAACTCTAGAAATTGTTATCGCAAGAGTTCAAAGGCCAATCCTAGAATAACCTTGTGAGCATAGCATAGCACCATCAGAGATGGAACGATCTGATGAAAAAATACCTTCGGTGTGGGAGCAATTAGATCAGAATTACCCTTCAGAGCGGGAACAATCAGATCAGTATAACCTCTCATAGCAGGAACAATCTTAGCAATATAACTCTGAGCGGAAACAATGAAATCGGTGTAACCCCTCAGAGAGGAAATAATCAGATCAGTATAACACTTCCGTTGGAACGATAAGATCAGTATACCGTTCAGAGCGGGATCAATCAGATCAATATAACACTCAGAACGGAAAAAAACTGATTAGTATAATAACCATCTGAGTGGAATCAATAAGGTCAGTATGTCTCATAACGAGATGAATAAGTTCAAGAAAAGACTACGCGCGGTCCATCAGATCACCACAAATGAACATTTGTTCTTAAATCCATCATTGTTGACCTAATTTATATTCCGTTAAATATATATTGATCCAACCAAATGATTAAAATTCGTTTTGAATTACAAAAAAGGAAAAATACCAATAAAGAAAAAACATGATTTTCTGTGATTTTTTTTCTTATTTTCAATTTTGAGGGTCCAATGAAAAAAAATACTAAAATATATATAAAGCTAACGTCGCCACCGCAGTTCAGAGACCCATGTCATTTGTCCAACGTTAATTATCAATCTTTTTTATTCCTACCCAGAACCCACCCACACCCGCCGTTCCCAAGCGATCAGAGAAGACGAGCAGGATTCGCTTTCATTTGTCAGTAATTGGAGACTCCAAGGCCGTCCATTCAATGACACAACGCTCTAAATCTTTACATTTGCCTTTTTCTTCCCGGGGAGAAAAATCAGGGATCACAGGTCTAATTTAGATAGCGAGATGAGCATGTGTGGGCGATATAGATCAGGTGGGAGTCACATATCCAATCTCATAGCATGTGGTGAGAGCCACAGATGAGAAATTTCTCAACATGGTCAATCGTGGAGGTTTGAAATACATCACATTGCCAGAAGAAGATGAGTTATAGGTTCCCTTATGAGAGAAATCTTAGGTTCCATTTAACCCCCACCATCTTCACCCCCACTACCTTCACCCGCACCGTCTTCACTCCCACTACCTTCACCTCTACCTAGAGTACCGAGCTCACTCCACTTTGCTCACCCAGCTCGGGTGTTCAGCATGTTGATAAGAGAACCAAGTTATAAGATCTCGTCTAATGTGGACTAAAGTTAGTTTCTTTGCTTTTCGACTAAAGAATATAAATAAAGGATTTTCACGTCCACCCACATGCTGGTGTAGACTGTTGGGTCAGATCTGTGACGGCCACATACTAAGGTTGCTTCTAAACTCTCATTCTCCATAATATTGATCTTTAGAAGCCCACGCTTCCTATTATATTGAACCTGCGACGTTCAACAGTCCTCATATGTATTGTTCCTTTGACACCAACATTTGACCTGCAACTCCTGCATCAATTTGCAATGCCCACATGCACACCTGTCCTATAAAATTTATCATTTGAGTAACACTTCATGAAAACTATTAATCTTAAGGTAGTTGGGGTGAAGATGGTGGGGGTGAAGGAAGTGGGGGAGATGGTGGGGTGAAGGAAGTGGGGTGAAGAGGTGGGGGGTGAGGAAGTGGGGGGAATGGTGGGGGTAATGGGGGTGCAGATGGTGGGGGTGAAGATAGTGGGGGTGAAGATAGTGGGAGGTGAAGGAAAGTAGGGGTGAAGATGGTGGGGTTGACGATTGGGAATTAAACGAGAGAGTGGTGGAAGGTGACCGTTGTGGAAGAGGATGTTTAGGGGTGTTCGAGGCTTGGGGAAAGATATCTTCAGGCGACGGAGATAGTTGTGTTGGCTGATAATATTGGAATGATGATGGTGGGGAACAAAAAGGGTGACCTTGTTGAGGGAAGAGATGTGGTAACTACCATTACCACGACCACCATGGCCACCTTGGGTCATGGTGATCTGGGTAATGGTATGGATGATAATGAAGGTTCAGAGAGTTTCCGTGTTGGAGTTGATGTCAGGAGAATTGATGGTTGCATTAGGTGGAATGGTTGTAGTGGAGATGGATCATTATGATGATACTATAGTGATGAAATACAGTGTTTGTAGGTCAGAGTGCAACCTTATCCTCTCCACTGGAACGACACCCAATCGTCTCTATTTAAACGACACCCTATCGTCCCCATTCAGACAACACCTCCTATCCACTGAGACGACGTCCTCTCCACTGAAACGACCCCTTCTCCTATGTGAAACGACCCCTCTACACTGAAACCACCCCCTTTCTCCACTGAGACGACGTCTCTAACGTGAGGAGAAAAATAAAGCAATATTTCCACATCAGTTGACCACTAGAAAAAAATAAACATATCCGATTCTGAAGTCACGAACGCGAGTGGCGACAAAAATCCATAAATCCTTCCAAGAACGCGTGACAGTCAATGCGGGAGGCGGCGGGCGGCGGGGCTTTACCTGAATTCCGCTTTGCGAAGATTTATTCAACCCTCCCTCCCACTCTCTCTCTCTCTCTCTCTCTCTCTCTCTCTCTCTCTCTCTCTCTCTCTCTCTCTCTCTCTCTCTCTCTCTCTCTCTCTCTCTCTCTCCTCTCTCTCTCTCTCTCTCTCTCTCTCTCTCTCTCTCTCTCTCTCTCTCTCTCTCTCTCTCTCTCATCTCTCTCTCTCTCTCTCTCTCTCTCATCTCTCTCTCTCTCTCTCTCTCTCTCTCTCTCTCTCTCTCCTCTCTCTCTCTCTCTCTCTCTCTCTCTCTCTCTCTCTCTCTCTCTCTCTCTCTCTCTCTCTCTCTCTCTCTCTCTCTCTCTCTCTCTCTCTCCTCTCTCTCTCTCTCTCTCCTCTCTCTATTCTATATATATTTTTCCTCTGCAATTTGGCGTCATTATCCTATTCGTTTTCGTTTACAGAGAACTCGTTCATATCAATGCGATTCGTTTTCCAATTTCCTTACTTGCTCTGACAGAAATTGTGGAGACTTTCTCTTCAAGCGTATTTATATTGCTTTCTGGCTGCTGCAGCTGTTGTTGATGTTGTTGTTGCTGTTCTTATAGCTTATATTCTTGATGTTCTTGTTCTGTTGTACTGTTCTTGTTGAACCTTTTGTTGTTGCTGGTACTGCTCTAATTGTTGCTTTTGTTGTTGTTGTGGCTGATTTTACTTTTTTGTTGCTGCAAATTCTATTCGTGTCGCTGTACTACTGTTCCTGTTGCTGTTATTCCTGTTGCTGCTATTGTTGATAATTCTGTTCTTGTTGCTGCTATTGTTGATGGTAATTCTGTTCTTGTTGCTGCGATTGTTTCTGATAATACTTTTGTTGCTTCAGTTAAGGACATTTATAGTATTGTGCCAGAAATGACACAATACTATAAGTGTCTCTCAAGCGTTGAGAGACACAAGCCTTGTGTCTCAAGCATTGAGAGGTACTAACCTTGTGTCTCAAGCATTGAGAGGCACTAACCTTGTGTCTCAAATGTTGAGAGGCATTAACCTTGTGTCTCACACATTGAGAGGCACTAACCTTGTGTCTCAAGCGTTGAGAGGCACTAACCTTGTGTCTCAAGCATTGAGAGGCACTAACCTTGTGTCTCAAGCGTTGAGAGGCACTAACCTTGTGTCTCAAGCGTTGAGAGGCACTAACCTTGTGTCTCAAGCATTGAGAGGCACTAAACTTGTGTCTCAAGCATTGAGAGGCACTAACCAAATGTTTGCAGAGTCGAGAGGCACTGCGTGATTCCAGCACTGAAAGGCATAA